TCGAAAGAGGAATAGTTTACGCTGGAATTTATTCTTGAGTATGCATTAGAAAAAGAAGAAAATTACCTGGATATAACATCATTTACCAGGGCGAGGTATGGATCGCGAATAACTAACTTTTGCCTATATCAGATACCTTGTAGAATCTCGTTGAATATGGCAGCGACTCGAACAAGCTGTGAGACTGATTCGTATCATGGATTTGCGTTGCACTTGGTGTGTGTAGGGGGAGGGGTGCTTTTCTTCCTCGAAATCCACAGAACCACCACCGTTTGAACATTTAAACCGAGGGAACCATTCTGATCCAAATTCAGCTAACAGAATAAACAGTCTAAAGCACCTAGCTGCATTAGGTTAACAACATTAACAACAAGGTTAATGCAATATAATCCTTGTTACAATATGAGTAATGTACCTTACCTTACCAAGATGGTTATTGAGCCTGATTTATACCTTTGAATTCTGCCTTTGTTTTTCACCTCTTTCGATCTGCTGACGATTAATGAGAATCGGTTTAATGCCCGTTCTTATGTATACATGGATCGCCAGTTTGGTTTGAAGCATTGATTGTGAGTAACTTTGTACCTTTGGTAGATTCATTACATTAGAGCAACTGACAGGGCTAGAGCTTTGTGGTTCGGTCTTGTGTCCAAGATCAATGTGCAGCCTGTTTTTGACAGCTCCATCTCCTTCGCTGAACAGACATTGCAGAACATTGCTTGGCTACTTTACACTGATGCAGATTTGACAGCCTACTACTCTCGAAATGGCTCAACCCGAAGGAACTTAAAATCATTCCGGCAGCATTGTTCTACAGAAAATACTGAAGTACCAGCTGGTCTCACAGTTCTTCCTGTTCTAAGGCGTCGTTTCTTGCGTCCTGTAAGAATTACGCATTAATTTTTTGGCTGTTATGTGCTGCATACGTTCTGTAAGGGAAAATAAGCCTCTTCTTTCATGGAATTAAGACGTATTGAATAATTAACTATATAATACTGTAATAGCGAAAAAAGCCTAACACGAACTGAGAAACGGTTGATTAAACAATCAGTAGTAACCGAAGACCAATCAATCATTATGCCTTTGAAGTAAATCTGTTTAAGAGAAGGATATTTTCACTATGCGGCTAGAAGATTGGAATCATCTGTATGTTCTTCAGAGAGCATGATGGATCGCAGTGTTGGATGTTTTATGGATTTAAAGCGACAGTGTTCGATTTTGTCGCGGCTATTACTTTCGCAAACACTTCGAGCTCTCTTTCAGTATAACGTCTTTTTGTCGAACTTTTTGTCAGAGCAGAGGAGAAGAATCACAAAAAGATAGATCATTCGCCATCTAGCGAAAGTATAAGTTTCAAAAGCATGGTTTCGCCGAAAAATTTATGTGGTACGAAGGATTTTAATTTCTGTTTATTACCTCTTTTCATTCTTTATGTGCAGTCTGGAGTTTTCTCGCTTTTATTCTGTAGTTGTTCTAAAGACAAAGACACTACGATTAAAGCGTTCAGTATGTTTAATTCAGGGAATAAAACAGATGGTTTCTATAACCTTTGCCTATATCCAGTGTCCTCCAGGACAGAGTTGCATCAGGAGACGTGAAGATGCTATATGATGCCCAGTTGCCCCTGCCTCTTTAACCGGCAAGGGCAGGTTTCATGATAGGTCAGTGCTACACTGGCTGTTCAGTACTACGCACACCATCTTGGTTGGTGCTGCCATGCGATTCCGATTTTGCTACTTGCACGTTCTCGGCATTTGGAACTCCAACTGTGAATCAATGAGAGCAAAAGTGTTTTGCATAAGTTCGACTTCTTGAGTCCAGAAGACGCTTAGTAATATTCAATCAGTTAATTTTAAATCTACAGCGCACTTGGTACCAAAATCGTTGTCTGCTTTCCGAAGGAAACGAAGAACATGCATTTTATGAGGGTTTGCAAAGTTACCTAAGTGGAACCTCTAGCTTTCAACTTCATTTGAAATTTTGTCACTTTATCAGTTTTTCCTATATTACGTCAAAAGTTCTTTTCATCAGTGCTTCAGTAACCATACGTTTCATAATTCATAAAGAATGCAGCAAAGACACTACACGCACTTCTACGTCTCATGCAATGCAACAGTGGGGTCACTGTTCGGCTTCCATGTGAAAGAGAAGAAACTGTGATTTGAAATGAGGACAAGCGGTCGCAAAGGAGAACAAAATGTATATAGCATCTAACCGGCCCATTACTGTTATTTAAATTTCGCAATTTTCTAATTTACGTATCACTCGTAAGACAAACACAAGGTGGCAGGTAAATGATTGATTTAGTGCTTAGCAAAAAATGAGGGTTAAAGTAATTTTCGTCACGTCCCCGCTGCCCACCTAGTTATTTCGGTTTCGGCCTCGCATCAATGTTGCAAACGCGTCGTTTCTTGGCGTGAGACGTTCACAGGTTTCCAAGCCATTGAAAAAACGTCGTCTATCAGCCTTCGCCTCGAACTTGTCCGGTTCGATTGACGAAGAAACTCGGTAATTGACAGAAGAGCCGGCGTTCGATTACCGCCAGCGAGAACGCATTATGAAAGAATGTCCGGCAGGATGGTTCCAAAGTGACGACGTGGCAGACGCGTTTTGTGCCGAGTTTGCTCAAGGACGTCGCCGAGTCGCCGTATCACTCGCAAGTAACTGTTTTCCATCGTATCCATAAGCACCGAGGCTTCGACAGTGCTAGCACAGAAGAAGGTGATGTTCAGGCGTCAAAGTTTTCACCGTGGTTTTGCCATAGGCAGCGGGGGAGGGGGAGGGCAGTGTCAAGAGAAAACTGAAAGGCCGAAGAAAGAGAAGAAACAAATCTCCAGTACCCAGTTACATAGATGCCACTTTTTATTCAAGGCGTAGATGCAAGGACGGCGGAGAGGGATTCGTCATCCATTCTTGGGATTTATGGGCAAGCTGAATGAAAGATTCAACAATGCTTCATGCAGAATATCAGAAAATGAGATTCATCTTGCCGCTTAGATGGTTAACACCCGGAAACCGGATGCGGTAGTGTACTTCGAACTCGTACAAACATGTGGTCATCATTCTGAAAGAACAATGATATTTGCCATCGAAAGAATAAGCGATATGATATACTAAACGCGTAGTTTGTGTAAATATGGGCGATAGTCTCCAAACTATGCTGGTGCTAGTGAAAGTATCTCTCTGCTAGCAGATCTGCGTTTATCACGATAGATGGAGGCTAATGATACGCACGCGTTTAAATATAATCAAACACTGAACTCGTATATCGTTCTTATTTACTGTCCTTCAATTTTGAAAGACCGTAGTTGGACTGTAACCGACCAACTCCAGAAACAAATTATGGAGTAATGGGACATAAGTGGGCGTTACGCTTACAGATCAGAATCAAGAAACTAGAAACACCTGGCGATTATTTTAATCAGGTGTCTTTCTATAAAATTTACCTAAGTATGGGGGTCCAAAGATCATACTCTTCTAAAAATAGTTACTAATGCTGTTTTTGAATCGTTCTGTTTTAATTGCAAAAAAAACATTTTCATTACTCTTAAAGAACATACTTAAAGTTGACAAAGTGGCAGACGTGAACATTATTTCTTTGTCGACTACTGCAAACAAGACACTCTTACCAATTCCCGCCGTATGCGATTAAGGACTAGAGTTGGTAAAGTTAGTTTAGGTCACTATCGCGGTAGAAAAGAATTAAATCGATTCGTTGACCGGGTTTACATAGAAAATCATACCACCCGTTGCTTCTCTTCAATTGGAGGTCACAACTCCATGATTTGTTAAGCAGCTGCGGTGTATGGTTTCAAACAGCACCACATTATTGTCTCGAATAACAAAGGGTCTTCGTGGCATCACTGAAAATGCTCTCTCACCGTCATCACTAGCCTCACGAGAAAATTTTTAGGCTGCTACTAATTTACAGTTTTTCGTTTTGCATATTTATGTTATGAGGCCTCTACTGAATCAAGGAAAGAAAAGTTCGTAGTAAAAGAAGGGAATGTCCGGTAGGATAATTTTCTCCTCAAAGGAGTTTATTTATCACTTTCCGCTATTTACTCAAAGCGCTTCCACCAGACAACTCTATAGAAAAAGTCGCTGTCAACGGAAAGCGAAACAATTATTGACCACGACATACTATCTATAGGTTAAGCATTATTGAAGATTCGTGGGCGTTCCACGTTGAATGATTGTTTGCAAGAACTCAGCCGGATGAATCTCTCCGTCTGCATGTATTGCCGCGTTCCAACTCTGCTTGGGTCACTCGCCTTTCTTCTTTCCGAGGGTTTAAAAAGAGTGCCAATCTGTTAGAAGAAAACCTGAGATTACACAGTATACTTGCCATACAGCTATTATCGGCCCTGCCTTTAAAATAAGGCCTTCCAGGCTCATTCCATGGAAATTGATCAGCGTCACACCATTAATTTCATGAAAAGAAGGGCTAGGAATGACCCTGTCACAGAAGTATATGGAAGGACAATATTTCAGGAATATCGATTATGCCATCTGCACCATTTTCTGTGATTCATGTCTGCAACATTCTATTCGTGGACAAACTGCCATCTACGTCCATTTTAAGTCGAACGGTTAGCTCCACTGTTCAGTAAAATCTGATGGTCGTTTTCAAACAGATTTTTAAGCCACATTTGTTTTAAACGAAATAGTCAATGTTTAATTTTTAAAAATTTTTGTAATAAATGCAAGAAGTGCGTTTTGTTAATGAACCGAGATGAAGACGTTTCGAAAGTTAGTTCGCCGTCTGACGTCTGAAATCAAGTTTTTAAAAGGATTCTGCGGCAGCATCAAGAGACAGATCTCTACTAAGTACCCAATGATGGACGATTGTTTTCGACATCCCACAAATGAGAGCAACTGACTCATTGCAACTCATTTCTTATGCACTGTCGTAGCAGCCCGCGACATCTTGCAGTCGTTTATCAGGGAACAGGTCATTTTTTACCCCGGCAGCTGCGCGGACACTATCGCTTTCAAGTTTAATTACAAGTACAATATGACTGCGTTTTGCCAGTTTTCATCACCTCGGTCCTGTCATGTCGAAAGCAGCTTCGATTTCGCTTCGGCGACCAATCACATGCTTCCCTCGTACGGTTCTGTTTGGTGTATTGCCGCTGTGTTTGTGAATGACGGTCGCATCCGCCACGCAACAGCTCGTCTGTTGTAACTGCCTTGTCTCCCTCACCGCCTGGAGGACATACAGATCTATCTGGCCGCGGGTCATGGATGTACGCTATGCTTCGAAACGGACATTCGTCATCGCAGTTGGTCGACAGGGCACTTATCTCGTTTCCGATCACCGCCTCGGTTCCGGCAGGCGAGATCGATGGCGCTCTGACAGTGTTCATCGCTCCCTCAGCAAATATTTGCTGAAGTGAAGACGGTCGCCGGTCTTCTTAGCTGCGCCGCGCCTATTCCTCTTATGAAATAGGGTATCTGCGGTTGTTTGATCGTTCCAAGGTCGTGGACGGTCGCAGAGCAAAATTTTCCGGCATGAACAACACTCAGATGAAGCGCGTAATTAATCTCAACCGTTTCCGGTTGCCCCGTGCGAATTTTAGTTCTTTGTGTTGGGCTTAAATTCATTATGGAGTTCGTACTCGTTTAGAAGCAAAAATTTATTCGTTTTAAATTATGGTGTCAGTCGGTAGCACATGTCAGCAGAACAGACAAGGAAGTTAACATATAAACGCCGACTGACAATCTTGCTGAAATATCTTTCTATGTGATTCAATATTTTGAAACATTTGAGCATTGAATGACATGAAGGATCTCCTATGTTACCAATGTACATAATCTCTGTTCTTGTGTGGTCATATTGGGGGGGGGGAAGATTTATGATACACCCATATTGTCTGATTCGAG